AATGTACAGATTCGGCTTAGTTACAATTTTATTATATATTATTATCTATACTTAATAGATAATAAATATTATATAGGTACTTTTGTGGTGATATTTTCTATACATTATTTTTATGAACTGAACGACGAAGAAAGTGTGAAAACGAAATGATAACTTATTGATATTGTGTAGATTGTAAGGACAATGAAAGTCAGATCATGACATCTAAATATATCGAATATACACCGATGCATGTTAATGTCCCACGACAGACACGCGCGATTCGATACGAGTGCCGCGGCAGGAAGCGCAGGCTTCCCGCATTAGAATTAGACGTACTTGTACTACACGTTTGGCTCAGTTTGTAGTGACCCTACTCTCTGTGCCAGCGGTCGCGGGTTCGAGTCCCGCTGGGGGCATTCATTTGTGTGATGACGAAGGTTTGTACTCCAGTCATGGGTGTTTATATTTATATTTATAATATGTATGTATTTAAAGTTATATATGTGTAGTGTATCAACTATCCGGTATCCATAACACAAGCCTCGTAGCTCACCATGGTACTAGATGGTGCTGTGTGTTAATGTCCCAACGTATAAAAAAATAACTTGTAAAACAATTTGTTCACCTATCTACAAAACGAAATATACTGTAGAAAATAAAGAGAGCTTTTTGTTACTTTTACTCAAAGGGAACGCTTCGTTACGTTTATTATCTGTTGAAAAATTGATGTGTGAAAAGCATTTTAACTTTTATTATACCTAAACGGAGTTATATATTAGCATATTTGATTATAAGTTAAGTATAACATACGCACAAGCAATGGCGTAGCGTAGGGAGGCAGGGGAAGCGGCCCGCCCCGGACAAAATTTCACAATAAATCCCGGAAAATTTCATAATAAATATTGTGTACCAATATGAAATGGAGAAAATTAATAATTTGTCAAAAAAATTACTACTAACACATATGTATATTGTATATATTGTGTATCTCGTTTCCTGCGTGATTGCCATCTTTGGTCATTGTAGTCTATTATAGGCCCATTTTAAGGGTCTGGTTCTTCCTTCTTCCAACGTCTAATCGGAAATGGTTCTGTTATATTGTTTTTAATATAATTGCCCAAAGAAGAGGGCGGCGAATTTGACTTCTGCCCAGGGCGGCAAAAATGTACTACGACTACATAGTACTGGCCTGCGTAGTACTGCTGCACAAGGTAGTGTTTTTCTTTTAAACTAACAAATAGTATATTATATTACAAAACACTAAAAGAGATCCTTTCAAATCTAAGAAAAGTTGAATCTATACATACCTATAATAAAATTCTAACTGAGTCGAATCTGTACATTAAATATTTTTTGGAAAATCTTATTGAAATAGTCATTATTATCGATACAAAGACCGAATTTATGGTTTTTAGAATTTTTGTCTGTGTGTCTGTTACCGCATCACAGAAAAACCACTAGAGGGATTTTGATGAAATTTGTTATGGTAACAGCTGGTTATCCGGGTCAACATATAGGATACTTTTTACCGAGGGAAAATATCTCATTTCTGAGAAAAAATACAAAAACTGCAATGTAAGAGTATAATAATCTGTAAAACCTAATAACTTGGTTTTTGGTCATCTGAACGCGGGCGGAGCCGCGGTCAATGCTAGTCTCATATAAAATTATTCAGACTTTATTATATTAAGTATTTAGAAAGCACCCGAGCAAAGCCCGGGTAAGTCACCAGTGTTATAATAAATATTTACACAAAAATGATATTCTTACAAACATATTGGAATTATAAATGAATTAATATATTAATATAAGAAGTTAATAACATTAGAGGGTTTGATTCCAAGGAATAGAACACGCGCCGCGGGCGGGCGGCGAGGGCGGGCGGCGGCTGCCAATTAAACTCCATCAGATAAATGACAAGCCAATTACTATGTGTGTCACCTCCAAGCGAAATATACTGTCACTAGCTTTCGTCTAGACTTACCTATACTTGGGAGAGTCGTTCACTGTATTTACTAAATTAAGTTTACTACAAATTACTTTGGTTGGACTTCTCCTACTAATTAGATTTTTCCTATTAGTTATATTAGGTACCTTATATAGGTATCTAATATAATTAATAGAAAAAATCTAATTATATTTCATACGAGATCGAAGTAGAAAAACTTTAAAAATAAATGAATATTTAACAAAAGGCCACGACTTTTTTATTTTCAATAGTACAAAGAAAATCAATTCAATGAAGTGCAATTGTAGATTATATTTAGATACAGTTAGTAATCGTAAGCTTAGAGTTAAAACAACGTAAATATATTGAAATATATATAATTATAGCGACACACCCTCGCTTCGCTCGAGTCCATTCATCCCTCATTACGTTTTAACGTTTAGTATAGATTTCTCAAAGACGAAATATTTTCCCGCAGTAAAAAGTATCCTATAAGTTTTTTTTATTTATTTATACGTAAAAAGCACACTTACAACATACATATGAAGCATTTTCAATTTCATTAATGTAATAATAATATACCTTATATGTATGTCAATTATAAGTGTACATAGCATTTAAATATTCATGAATTAAAAGTACAAAAATTTAAAAATAATAATTCTTATTATTATAGATAAATGTCATATTACAAAAGAAATTGATAATAATACATAATAATAAGAAGTAAAATTAAAATCATCATTATAAACAAAAAAAAGTAAAGCCAGATAACCAGCTATCGCCATACCAAATTTCATCAAAAAATGTCCAGTAGTTTCCTCGTGATACGGTAACAGACAGACAGACAGACAGACAAAAAATCTAAAAACTATAGATTCGGCCACTGTATCGATGATAATGTCTGTTTCAATTAGACTTAAAAAAAAATCTAATGTACAGATTCAACTTAGTTACAATTTTATTATATGTATAGATATACATATATTTTGTAACTTTACTATGAAAAATAAACAAAAAAAGCACTCCAGCACACAACCCTTTAACTTCTTACACCGCGAAATCATTCGACAGAATTTGTGATGTAATGATTTTCTCCTAGCCGATTCCGACTACGGCGGCCATTCTCATTGAGATTAGCCAACTGCGCAGGAGATATTATAGTGCTCAAGTGTACGCGCAGACACAACGTGCACTCTCTATTCCTGTCACTTTCATACTCCGGTGGGACGACCACTCGACACGACCGGTGAGTGTCGGCGCAGGACCGACCGCTTTATGTGCTCTCCGAGGCACACGAGGAGGGGGTGAAACACCGCCAACTCCCCAACTCCGGGCTGTTACTGAGACTTACTATACAGAAAGACTCAATAACTAAACTTGGCCCGACCCGGGACTCGAACCCAGGACCACCGGGTGTGCAGCCGTAAATGCTAGCCACTACACCACCGAGGCATTTGTGTAATATTATGTAATATTATGTAAGTAAACATTTGAAACTCAATGCCGGCTAATGAGACGATAGGGTGATAGAGTTAACTCTGGTGTACTGCTAATTACATTCGCAAACAGTAGGCATTTGGTACGCATTGATACTCTTGCTCTACTACCCTGTATCTGTTAGTGGTGTTACTCATTACGTAGGAGGTTGCGAGTTCGATTTCCACTTGGGTCAGTTATTTTTATAGGCCAATGGCCTTAAACATCTCTATGGTACTTATTTATGATCTTTCATGACAACTATAACAGTAAGACATTGACTAATCTATACATATAATAAAATTGTAACTAAGCCGAATCTGTACATTAAATATTTTTTAGAAAATCTTATTGAAATAAACATTATTATCGATACAGAGGCCGAATATATAGTTTTTAGAATTTTTGTCTGTCTGTCTGTTTGACTATCTGTTACCGCAACACAGAAAAACCACTGGAGGGATTTTGATGAAATTTGTTATGGTAACAGCTGGTTATCCGGGTCAACATATAGGATACTTTTTAAAGGATTTGGCAAAAGTTTTACGACCGGCCGCCTGCCTGACGTCAACCCTCTTTGGGAATCTCAAACACTATCCACTCCTATTTACAATCTTGTTACTTCATATTTTGTACACATTCAACAATATTTAAATTATGACAGCTCAGTTTTCAATATATTTACATTTCCAAACGTGTTTCTTTATTTTTTCTTTTGCTATTAGACATAGGCATAGATAATACAGAAATAATATTTTTTTATATACCTCTTTTTGTATTATAATTTTTATATTAATACTTTTTAAATAATAATATAAAGAAATTTCTAAATTGATAAAAGTACATGTTGAATACGTACATACGACTATTACTTGTACGCTTAGATTGACCATCACGATTTGGTTACATAGATAACTAGCTACTTACCCTTCTTCCGCTCGTGTGCGTCCCTAAAAATCTTCTTGTCTTACATTTTCGGTGATACCAAAAAAAAGTTTCATTTATTTCATACTAGCAGAACCCACTATTTTACCCCCTTATATAGCAATGAATGTCGAAAAAGGCTTAAATACGTATTTATTTAATTTTATTATAGAGTATTAATATCAAGTTTCAAGTAATTATGATCATAAATATTTTTTTGAATTGTATTATAACGTGTTTTACCGTGGGAATTAGATAATGTCCCGCGGTAAAAAGTAGCCTATGTCACTCTCCAGCCCTCTAACTATCTGCACACAAAAAATTACGCCAATCCGTCACTCCGTTTCGACGTGAAAGAAGGACAGACAAACAAACACACTCACATTTATAATATATACTAGCGACTCACCCTCGCTCCGCTCGGGTTCGTCCCTAATGTGGGCCACCCTTATCACTTAGGGGTATGGAAAATAGATAGTAGCCGATTCTCAGATCTACTGAATACGCATATAAAATTTGGTAAAAATCGGTAAAGCCGTTTCAGAGGAGTACGGTAACTAACATTGTGACATGGAAATTTTATATATTAGATTAGTATGGATTTAATTATTGCAAATGTAGATTTCAATGAAGCCAACAACAGTAACAAACTTAAAATTATTTCTAGGTGACGTCGGCCCTATACCTTGCTCTAGGACAGGACGCCTGGCCACGTCTGGGCACGCTGGCGAAGCTCTCCGATGTGCTGATGCTGCTCAACTACGTGCTGGACCCCATACTCTACGTTCTCATGAAACAGAGACGACACGTCTCTATCACTGCTATGTGCCATTCTATCACACATTGCTTTAAGCGAGTAAGTTCTGATCTCCCAACAAATTAATTGATGAATTAGGTTTTAATTTAAAAACCATATATTTTTTAATGAAAAGCTTTCGTTTCTATAGCAGTTTATTGGTAACGATCACTTTGGAGATCAATAATCTGATGAATTCCTTATCGAGAGTTACGAGATCGATCGCGCGCCCAACAGATATCTGAAACCGTTAGTTCAGGCTAATTACAAAACAATAATAAATTCTTAAAAATGTTCTAAGTATGAAATTATCTATACATATAATAAAATTGTAACTAAGGCGAATCTGTACATTCAATATTTTTTGGAAAATCTTATTGAAATAGATATTATTATCGATACAGAGGCTTTTTAGAATTTTTGTCTATCTGTCTGTCTGTTACCGCATCACGGAAAAAACACTAGAGGGATTTTGATGAAATTTAGTATGATGGTAGCTGGTTATCCGGGTCAATATATAGGAAACTTTTTACCGCGAGACAATATCTCATTTCTGAAAAAAAACACAAAAACTGCATTGTAAGAGTATACTAATATGTAAAACCTAAAAATTTGGTTTTTGGTCATCTGAACGCGGGCGGAGCCGCGGGCAATGCTAGTGAAATATAAATACATATCTGTTAATGCTAAAACAAAAACGTAATTTCATAAAGATATTACACAGTCTATGAAAACACAAACAATTCAAATGCGAAGTAAAGATTACACTCTAGATGTCCAAATGCACATTGATACTTCCGCAGTGACCACTCGCACGTGACGTCTCACGCGCCAGTACGAGCCTCGCATGTGAACTTATATCAAAGTAATTTAAGTCCCGTAACAAACCTAAATCGAAATTAAACAACATGGTTTTCATTTAAATAATATAGCAAATAATTTTCATAATAAGCTGTTTAAATATCCATATAGGTATGTAGGTACTTAATTTAGTTAAAATACGATCAATACCAGTATTGCCAGTAGAAATATATACCTATGTAACCCTTGCAACACAATACTTCAGCTACTGTTAGGCTTAGGCACTTATTCTTTATTCAGATGTGTAAGTCAATTTGCTTATCTCAATTAATCAGTCAATAGATAAGCTTTTATAGTAGTTCACCTCAACTCCGATGCGTGTCCTGTTCCAGAGTCGCCTCGAGATGTTATTATCATGACACTTGTTTTTTGTTATCGTCATGTCTTTATTATAATTTATAATCAACTAGCATTGCCCGCGGCTCCGTCCGCGTTCCCAAAAATCAAATTCTTAGGTTTTAAATATTAGTATACTCTTACAATGCAGTTTTTGTATTTTTTCTCAGAAATGAGATACTTTTCTGAGGTAAAAAGTATCCTATATGTTGACCCGGATAACCAGCTATCATCATACCAAATTTCATCAAACTCTGTCCAGTGGTTTTTCTGTGATGCGGTAACAGACAGACAGATAGACAAAAATTCTAAAAACTATAGATTCAGCCTCTGTATCGATAATAATATCTATATCAATAAGATTTTCCAAAAAATATTTAATGTACAGATTCGGCTTAGTTACAATTTTATTATATGTATAGATTGTCATGTATAGGCAGAGGTATGAATTTACACGCGCATTCGAAGCCTGGAAGTAATGAATTAACCGGCCGTTCTATAAATACGCAACAATGCCACATTGTACTCGGTTATTTGGCAAGGCTACTAATCGCAAATTTGCAATTTAAATTAATAACAATAAATAACTACCCCAGCAAAAGTAGGAATATTTTGTTTTATTTATAGTATTAAATTTTTGTGACGAATTTAGGCCACAACTATATCTAAATACAGTATTACAGAAATAACCACTTGACGTAGCCTAAAGCTTAAGCAAAAATAAAGTTACGAAGAGTCTCGCCATACAACAATTGTAAGGTTGCATTTTTATATATTGAGTGTTTTAATAGAAAATAATATATTTGATTTTCCTTCATTTGACCTTCGCCGATAGGAATGTGTTTTAAAAAAATAAAAAGGGCGCGGATATTCATTTGTTTTCCCGCGCTTTTGCACAGAGATGTCGGTAGTCGGTACCACCCTGTAGGTCACTACGAATTGTTTGTAATACTGAAAAATTATGATTATAAATTATGTAACTCACTGAAGTTTATAAAAGTACTGAATATAAGAATATAAGCAAGGAATATCTCGAAGTTTTATTAGGGGCCCAACACAATGTATATAATTTTAATCATTTAGACTTTATTAACGTCCCACCTGTATTCAGCAGAATACAAGCCCTTCCTCAATGAGAGGCAAATCAGGCCATAGTGCACTACGTTGACGAATTGCGGTTTAGCGTATTAATAATATATGTATTACTAGCGACTCACCCTCGCTTTGCTCGGGTTCGTCTCTAAGTTGATTCCCCATACAAACTTTCATCCCCATTTTCACCCCTTTAAGGGATGATTTCCAGGATAAAATGTATCCTATGTCCTTCACAGGATCTCAAACTATCGTCTTACTAAATTTCATCTAAATCGGTTCAGTAGATCCAGAGATTACCCTCTATAACGTCATAAGCTCACAATTCACAAACTTTACCCCTTTATTATATTAAAGTATTGACTAGCGTTTTCCTGCGCATAGTACATTAATATCATATACTAAAACCTTCTCCGAAACACGCTGCATCTTATGGTATGAGTATTATTACGATCGGTTCAGTAGTTACGAGTATCTCAGTATACCTAACTGAACAAAAAAATCGGCTTTCCATTTATTAATTTAATAATATTATTTTTTCTTTTTCAGAGTCACAAAACATCGACTGAGTCGATGAAAACATCGTGCTGTCCGCAAGAGACGGTCATCATCAGCGAGAGCTCCGGCGCAGAGATGCGGCCGCTCCGCCCGCCGGTGTGCGCCGCCATCATCAAGCTGGACGACTGACACACACAAACGGACACACCAAAACTTCCTAATAAACACATCCCATTACATACATCGACTAACAACGAATGCAGTACAAATACTCAAGGCAAGAATATAGTCCGTTTTTAATAGAGTCACGAGTTTTATGTATTACCTATGTATACATATATTTAACCAAAATATTTCTGATACTATATTTTAATAGGTAAATACCATTATCTTATATATAAAATTTCCATGTCACAATGTTAGTTACCGTACTCCTCCGAAACGGCTTTACCGATTTTTACCCAATTTTATATGCGTATTCAGTAGGTCTGAGAATCGGCTACTATCTATTTTCCATACCCCTAAGTGATAAGGATAAGGGTGGTCCTCCCAGACCCCACCGCAGGGACGAACCCGAGCGGAGCGAGGGTGAGTCGCTAGTATAATTATACGTATACCGAATTTATATCTATATATATAAAAGAAAGTCGTGTTAGTTACTTCGCTTATAACTCAAGAACGGCTGAACCGATTTAGCTGAAAATTGGCAGGGAGGTAGTTTAGAGCCAGGAGAAGGACATAGGATACTTTTTATCCCGTTCGACCGCGTTCCAATTTTTATGATATTTTAATTTTTGGATTTCTCTTAGTCCGGAATAGGTAAGTATTAAAACATATAATTAAAATGTGAGAAAGAAAGATTTTTTCTTTTTATATCTATTTAAAACGTACCTAGCGACGAACCCGAGCGAAGCGAGGGTGAGCCGCTAGTTTATACATAAAGACTTGTGGCTATAAGGCTATGAATAAGTGACAGCAAACCAAAGCATTGTATATAAGTAGATTGGGGGTTGACATAGTTGTTTTATAATTATAATTAGAATTAAGCAAATGGTAAAATTGTCTTGATACTAATTTTGGATATTATCTATACATATAATAAAATTGTAACTAAGCCGAATCTGTACATTAAATATTTTATGGAAAATCTTATTAAAATAGACATTATTTTCGATACAGAGGCCGAATCAATAGTTTTTAGAATTTTTGTATGTCTGTCTGTCTGTTACCGCATCACGGAAAAACTGGAGGGATTTTGATGAAATTCGGTATGGTGATAGCTGGTTATCCAGGTCAACATATAGGATACTTTTTACCGCGGGAAAATATCTCATTTCTGAGAAAAAATACAAAAACTGCAATGTAAGAGTTTACTAATATGTAAAACCTAAGAATTTAGTTTTTGTTCATCTGAACCGTGACATTAAAATGGTGCGTACCGACCGACGACCATGGAGACAGACGCAATTATTAATATGACAAAGAAAAGCTTTAAGCATTTTATTTTTATATAAAATATTATGAATTTTATATATATATAACTTAAATAAATAAAAATTAAAACATCTACTCGTAAGAGCTATACCTAAGTGATTAACAATTGTACATTTCTTAGTTCATTCATCTTTTCAACCGACTTCAATAAGGAGGAGGTTTTCAATTCAACTGTATTGCACAACGACTTCGAAAATATTTGATTAGGTATGTATAGTAAATGAAAACTACCAATCAGTTATTTTTTAATTTTTAGTGCTTTTGTTTGAAGTCGGTTTTTATTTTTTTGTTAAAAAGTTTTTAAAACCTACAAGAGTATCATAAATCTAAAAACCCGAGGATAAAACGACAAATAAGGTAACTTTTTAATTATTATGATATTACACGACTTATCTACGAGAGCAGTATTAAGTGCTTATCTAACGCTTGAACACATATTTAATTGAATATATACATAACACATATATACTTCGAAACTTTTTATTGCATTTATAGAGACTGCACAATGTAAAAAAAATATAACTTATTAACTATTTGTCTTTGATTAATTACCAATAGCCGCCTATAAGTAGTAAGTAATTACTTGTGGTAGCAAGTGGCAGTGGTAGCCCAGTGGTAACTCGCTTGGGAAACCGAGTGATGCGGATTCAAATCCCGAGTCTCGCACCTCTGATATTTTCATGCGCGAATAAATTGTAACTTTATTTTCTTTCTTCACATAGTACAGAATTGAAATATAACAATAAAAATAAAAAAATGGTGTCTGCGTTAAAAACAAAGGAAGAGAATGAAAACAAGTTGTAGAAATAACATAGTTTAATAAAGTCGGAGGTACACTTATATGAATGTTACTTGCTGCGAATCTTGCTGCGAGAAAAAATTCAAGGCACAAATCGGCGCCTGGGATCCGCCATTTTGATTTTTTATAATATCCCATAACACTCGCGGTATCAAGACAAATCTAATGACATATGAATAATTAAAATCAGCTATCAGCCCTTTAGTAATAAACTACGAGGGAACATAGCATCAGAAATACATATATATACATATATAGGTCAAACACATAACCCGCCTTTGGCCTTTGGGCCACTACGACCCCATCCCCTAAATGTGTAAATAAACCTAAGTACCGAATATTAAAATTAACTAGTCGTAAAGCGTCAAATTATTTAAATATTTAATGTTAAGTGAACAAAAATATCTTGTACTTAATTTCTATTTTTATAAAATGTTATATCAATGTTACCCTTCGTATTTAAATATAATGCATGTATATTTTGTGTTGTAGCATAATATATAAGATAATATAAAGAGGGGCTAAAGATTTTGAAATCTATGAAATTATAAATTAAAAAATAAAAAAAACTCCCTACGCAAAATTGTCAATTAACGATTACACTGGCAAGCGTGAAGCACTTAATCAAGTAATCATACGCCAAAATACCTTACATGTCATTTTGGAAAAGAGCTGATACTCTTACACTGCTGGACCGATATTAACTAAACATAGCTAAGAAATAACACAAGGAAACTTGCTTTCAAATGAAAAAAACCGCATCGAAATCGGTCCATCCGTTTGAGAGCTCCGATACCTCAGACAAACACACACACAAAGACAGACAGACATCGACGTCAAACTTATTACACCCCTCTTTTTGCGTCGGGGGTTAAAAAATATATAACTTACGATTAACAATATTTGAGAAAATTATAATAATGCCCCTATTTGTAATCTGTAATTCCAATGATCGTATTATCCATTCCTAAACTTTATTACCAAATTAAAATGAGAAACATATCTATTTTGATATAAATATTAATCTCAATCTAATATTTTAATTATTATTTGTACACAATCTACAAGTTTTTTTTGTACATTGTTATAGGATAGAATAAGCGTATTAATTTTAATAAAAGAGATGTTGATGCCATAACTAGGTATTTGTTTTATTTTATTTCTTTGTAAATTAAACGAGACATGTAACAATATTAATAAGGAACGAAAAAAGTTTTGTAAGTACATAAAAATATAAATGTCTTGGTGGTGTAGTGGCTAGCATGCAGAGCTGCATGTCCGTAGGCCAAGTTTAGGTTTTGAGCCTTCTGTTAAGGCGCTCTTTTCCAGAATTTAGGATATTTTGAACCATTATAAAACCACGAATATAATACATATAGTTCTAAAATTCATACATGTAATAGTTAAGGATAATAGCTAAGTACCCGGAGAGGCCAAAACACGATTGGCAATAGTTCACTCGATAGAAAAAAAATTCAAAGATAGGTCTAAAAATACCTTACTCTATTATATGATATGAAAGTTATACTCATAGATTTAGCTTGTCATTATTTAGGTATTCGGAGAAACAGATTTTCATTTATTAACTTATATTTATGGCAATAGGTGAAAAACAGATAAAATGAAACGGGTCGTCGCGCGCTGGCGCCTAGGGAGCGACGATTCTGGAAAAGAGCGCCTTAAAAAAGTTTCAGTAATAGTGTTATGAGTTGGCGGTATGTCATATCCGTGCCGCGGAGGACACGTAAGGCGATCGTGTCGAATTATCGTCCCAGTAGAGTATGAGAGTGACAGGAATAGAGAGTGCACTTGTGTCTGCGCGTACACTTGGGCACTATAATATCTCCTGCGCAGTTGGCTACTTTTAACGAGATTTTCCGCCGTACCTGAAATCAGTCAGTAGGACATCATGTAACAAATAGTAATGGAAGCATTTAACCCCTCATTTTTGGGGTTATGTTGTCAACAAGGAATCCTTATAATTTCACCATGTGCGTCCGCCCGTCTGTCCGCAGCTTAGCTAGAGACTCTTGGTACTAGAAAGCTGTAATGTACATATAAGTCACACCGATAATGTGTGTTATTATATATTTTTTTCTACTTGCAAAGTGATGTTTTTTTTGTCTACCCCATTTGTTGAAACAATTTTTCGATTAAGGGATCCGTTTGTGAAATATAAAGCTTTAAAGTCCCGAGTTTGTTAGAGTCAAGTACCCGGCATCTACCACCCCTCCTGCCAGCTAAATAGTTTTTGGATATGTGAAAAAAATCACGGTAGTAGTATATATAACGAAGTTAAAAGGGAAATTATTACAGCTAAGTAGGCTTTACATGTTTACGAGTAATGGTCGACCAACTTATACTTGTAACAATGAGCCGCCGAAACCGTTAACGTTAAATGTTTATAGTATGAAACAGCAAAAAGTCCGCATTATTGTTATGAGCAACTACGGAACCCTACATTGCGCGTACACGCACTTGGCCGGGTTATTTTTCATTCGTATTTCTCTTTTCATCTCGATGATATCATTGATAGGTATGTTACAAATATATTTTTTAAATATCAATTGTTTTCCGGTTATTTTATTATGTTTTGTCTTTCATGGGATCCTTCTAACCAGGTTTAAACTAATAGCTGAAAGCACGGAAGTGGAACTTTCGTGGCTGAAAGCATCAATATGGGGAAAACATTTGCCAATTTCTCCCACCTGATGTCACGACCACTATGATCCTCAATATAATTTAAGCTCTACAGCGTGGATGGATTTTTATTATAAAAAAATTAACTAAAGTGACGAATTGAGCAGTGATAGAATGCAAAGAAAATAGATATCATTTGTTCCCAAAAGACAAAAACTGAAGAAATTGTGGGCTAAAGCAATACTAGGACCAAAATTGGCGAAATCACAATCTATATATTTTAAGGATATGTGGACATCATTTTAAAGAAAGTCATTTTTTAAAACTTTTTTACGTATTAAAAAGTTTCATACAAATTTTTATCCCCCATTTTACCTGATGGGATTGAATTTGGAAAAATGCTAAAATACGTATTTATTTAATTGTATTGAAGAGCATTAATACAGTTTCAAGTAATTCCGATCATAAATAATTCTTTGCCCATAATATAAACTTTATATCCCCCTTTTAGCCCTTTATGGGATGAATTTGAAAAAAATATATTTTTTATATTTTATCTTAAAGTTTAACATTACATTCTGTATATTTCACATTAATAATGACAGAGTTTCATACAATCTTTAATCCCTTATTTTACCCACTTGGGGGATGAATTTCGAAAAATTCTTTCTTATCAAATGCCTCCATTTTATATAAGGAATACGTCCTTCAAATTTCACGTCTTCACGATCAGCGATTTAGGCTATGTGTTAGTCCATCAGTCAGTCAGGACCACCATGATAGGAAACACCTCTTCTTCTCAATTCTTCCTTCAGCTGGTATAACTTCCAGGTACAATACATGTAACAGGCACAAGTAAAATGCGAACATAATAAAAGCAAAAATTCTGGTATAAAAGAGATATCACATTAAATTGCCTAACCTGAGTCTGATGTAAATCGACCATACGTGTGACGCCCTCCTTTCGAGAAATCTTTCCCATTAGGCCGCCAGGATCTATGCTTAGGATTATTTGCTGTCACTGTCAGCTGTCAAAAGTCAAAACCAATCTTACATTATTCTTTATCTATGTGCACTACTGTAGAGTGTAGTTGTTTGAATAGATATTTTCCTTCCTATCAAAGAAAGAATGTTGTAATTTAAAATTATTATAATATAATAGATTATTTGTAATTGATTATTATATTAAATTAGGTTATAATCAATTTGTGATTTTTCAAACAAGATGTCCAAGTGGTAAGTAACTTAATAATAATTGTTTTTGTCTTACAACAAGATGGTAAAATTATGTTTCTGAAAAACTTTGTAACTAACAAGTGTCCTAATATTAAAAGTACAATATTCATCGTACCTTAAGCGATTTGCGTATATACGTTATAACCGTTCGTAGGCAATCGGAGAGAAGTATTCACGAAATGTTGAAAGATACTCCGCCACTACGCGAATCCAGCGACTCGATAACTTCGGGTACAGAAGCAAAGTTTCCTACATCACGTTCCATGCCATTTCCACCGGCTTATGGTAAAAAACTTATTTTGCTTTTTAACAATAATGTAAGCTTATAATAAACATCAGTGCACATGAAATATGACAATTATTACATATACTTATATACATATATATATTATTATACATTAATTCAATTTCCGTTTATTTTAAATCTACAGAAGTGTCATAATAATTTAATTTAATCCAAATATGGAATTATGGAATGTTTTTTAAAGGTTTTTTAAACTATTTCTTTTGTAACTAGATATAAAATAAAATTTAAGTATTATTTGTAAGAATTACCTTTTTATATTGTTTACTTTTTTATTATTAATTCATGGCAAAATAATTTGCAGCACCACCAGATGTATCACAAAATGGAGCTGCAGGCAACAGCACTCTCCTGCGTGCAGGATCTACCAAGCTGGAGTCCATTAAGAATTGGAGTGTCTCTACTTATAAATGTACTAAACAGATATTATATGAGAAACTGGGAAAAAGTTCACGAACTGTTGATACTGGTAAGTAATGCCATATTAAACACAAATAAATTATATAAATTATTTGTGACTATTTAAAATAGATTGCATTTACATAAAAATAATTGGCTACATTATTAATCTTACTAATATATAAATGCGAAAGTTTGGGTGGATGGATGTTTGTTACTCAATCATGCCAGCTACTTTTTATCCTGGAATAATGCATGGTCCCATGGCTTCGATTTGTTTTTGTATTTTACTGTGGACAAACCCTAGAGACGCGGGTATGAGCTGCTGGTATGTTATATGCTTGATGAATATGTATTATCTTTATATATATAATTCTTCTGTGAGTGTGTATGTCACTGAACTTCTCTCAAACGACTGGACCGATTTTGATGAAATTTTTTGTGTGTGTTCAAGGGGATCTGGGAATGGTTTAGATTCACAATTTGAATAATAATTTTCATCAAAAAAATTATTAAAAAAAAAAGTTTCAAATTTTCAAATTAAAGACGTGTAGACAGGACAACGTCTGTCGGGTCCGCTAGTACTGTATAAATATAATATTGATATGTTCATTTGTCCATTGTTCTCATTTCATTACAATGACTCAAATTAATCAGAATTAATTTAAACTCTGTCGACTGAACAATTTAGAACACAACAGAGGCTTAGTTACACTAATCATACATTAGTGTAATGATTGTGACATAGCTATGTAATATTCCAATAATTTATATTGGAGTTATGAATACTAATTGTATCATTATTATTGAAATTTATTTGTATTTTTCGTTGCTCACAATGTTACTAAAAATTAATTCAAGTAATATTTGTACCAAACCTGGACCAAATCTTATTGATATTTGAAATAATTGTACATAATCAAATGTATAAACACTTCTTCACTAAATTGTATAGAGAAATATAAATTGAAAAGTTACAAGTTAGCAGTTAGTTTTAATACAGACATTACAGGTCCAAGATGAAAATATTCATTACCAAGAATGGTATTCAAGCACAATTCATGTAATTTTAATTAAAAAGTAATTTTTATTAAATAATGCTGAGCTAATTAGGATTTTTTAAAAATAAATATAACAATAGGCACTGGCTGCTGACTGTATGTGTGTGTGTGTTGTGTGTGCAGAGCTGGAAGCACAGATCGAGATGCTGCGCGAGACGCAGCGCAAGTACCTGGGCGTGCTGCGGCTGAGCGGCGCGCTGACGGCGCAGCTGGCGGCGGCGGCCGGCACGCAGCGCGCGCTGGGCGAGGCCTTCGCCGAGCTCGCGCAAAAGTCCCCCGAACTGCAGAACCAGTCAGTCATCTCTCTTGAACTACTATTTTAAATGCAGTGGTAGATCAGTGGTGTAGTAATGTGCTCACTTGGCAAACCAAGTAAAGCGGGTTCAAATCCCGGATTTTTGCACTTGTGATTTTTTTTGGGCAAATATATTGGAACATGATTACCATTTATCTTTAAGTTAAGGAAAACATCCTGAGGGAACCCGCATGTACAAATCCACCAACCCTCATTGGCCAGGGTGGTGAACTATTGCCTGATACCTCATATAGAAAGGAAGCCGGTGCCCAGTAGTGGGACATTAAAAAAAGACTGAATGCACATTATAAATGCAAAAGTTTCATATGTGTATGTTTGTTACTTCTTCATGCTTCTACAGCTAGACGAATTTTAATGTTTAGTATAAAGATAGACAACCTGGAGTAACACATAGGGACCCAGCAATACACTGTAGTAAAGTAAGTGTAATTTGCTAGTATTATTATGCTCGAAACAGGTTCCTCTACAACGCGGACACGCAGCGCTCGCTGACGCGCAACGGCGAGACGCTCCTGGCGGCTCTGCACTTCTTCAACAACGCTCTGAACACGCTCACCAACAAGACCATGGAGGACACGCTGCTGACCATCCGGCAGTACGAGGCGGCGCGCGTGGAGTACGACGCCTACCGCGGCGAGCTGGAGGCGAGCGGCGGCAACCCGCCCGAGCTGCTGCTGGCCAGCATCGAGCGCCACCGCCGCCACTACGAGCGCCTGCGCGACGACTCCGCCGTCAAGCTCAAGCTGCTGCACGAGAACAGGGTACGCACGCGCACACAAACACGCAAACACGAACGTACTCAGACACACACGCTCACACAGTTTTTTTTTGTTTTTTTTTCCTGGTATGATTTGCAATCAGTCTTTTGACTATAAGCAAATTTGTTGAGAGATTGCTGTAATGTGGAGTTGATCCTCATTAGGATGTAATCTCATTCATTATTCAGGCTAGAATTATAATGCTAGATATAGTATGGTTTTTTTTGAGACGTCTTGGGCATTTATCATCTTGAAGTCTGTGTGTTAGGATGTTAGAAACACAGAAAAAGTGGACATATTTGGTCCATTGTAAATGTTTAGATTGCTTGTGTGTTGTTTGGTTTATTGATATAGTTTATGATCTGAATAAGAAATATGACTAAATTTCATTTTTATTGGTAGAGATCTAAACATGCAAATTTTAATTGAATATTTTACCCAAGGTTAGAAAAATAATATTTTTCATTCCCCGCAGGTGAAAGTGATGAACAAGCAACTACTGTTGTTCCACAACGCTGTGTCTGCGTACTTCAGCGGTAACAACGTGGCGCTGGAGGCAGCTGTGCGCCACTTCAGCGTGCCCGGCGCCCCTTCGCACAGCCAACACCCTCAACACCCTCCCGCGCTCGCCCCTCCACACCCCCCTACGCTGGCCCCCCCGCACGCCCCCCACCCCACGCTTGCCAGTCCCTCCACCAGCCCCCCGCGAACATAGGACTGCGCCCCTGAAGGCCTACCGCATCACGGTAACCCCCTGGATTATGTCTGACACGGTAATCATTATACTATCACTGACCCTTACTTATACTTGAAACAGACAATTTGCTGCTCTAGTATTGTAGAAACTCTTCCAGTTCAAGAAATAAATTCCTAAGAAGAAAATCTCTTAGACCCTTCAAAGTGTTAATATAGCACCTGGCACTCTTTAATGGGCTTAGAATCATATAAAAACCATCAATTTTTATTCCATTCCTTCTATATATAAAGAATTTAAATGAAGTGAGTGTTCCAACTCGACATGCTCGTAGGTATCCTACTCATCTGATGAATTAAACCCCAGTAGAGAATGTTGTACAATAGAAAGTAATATAAAGGGACATACAGACAAACCACTATTTAATAATTATAGTAATATAAAACCATAACCAATATGAAAAAGTATCTATTACTTTTATGTTTTAATTTTTTTTATGTAATTAGGAACTTTAAGGCAAAATGTTTTACAAATTAACTCTTTAAACATTTTTTATTTATATCTGACTGTATTATGAATAAGTACTTAAGACGATTGGTCTAAGATTTTCTCTATTACCTAATATTCATTTAATTTTTTCAAGCTTTACTTCTATTAAAGTATTATTGAATTTTAAAACCTATATCAAAAATATAAGGCATTCAAAAACAGAAATTTATCATTAAAAAATATTATATAAGACATATATCTCGAATATTGTACTTTATAAAGGCGTTTTAAGCGGAGCTACTTAGAACATCATTTTACTAGTCAAATAAAACAAAACTGTTAAAATACAGCGCACCTATATAGCACTTAATATAAATAAATTAACACTTTGCAAACTAATATGGAGAATTGAAGTATTATAAAAATAGATGTAAAAATTATATTTAATCTTTATTGATGCTTTGAAAATGATACTAATCAATATGTTGCCGGTAAGAATATAGACAAATATGCAGCTAAAAATAAATATTACGATACCATTGTGTCAGTGGACAGTGGGACATCAGTGTTATCATTCAACATGATTTCCATTTCCTAAGAGCAAGTGATAACAAATATTATTTCTATTTAAAAGTATCACATATTGTGATACTTCAAATCGGACATAACAGGTCCCTTACCTTAGTCTTAACATAATATAATAACAGAATAAATAATACTACCTATTGGCATGACTTATTTAAATAAAGCAAAATAATTCATAGACTAAACTACAACAAAGATATTTAATAAACTCACGAAATAATTCACAATAAAATAATTAAATCAATGGTTTCATTGAAATTTTTGTCGATTATAATTTAGATAAAGATGTTACCTTTACATGCAATGATTATTGACATATTAGCTCTTCTAAATAAAATTGCATTGTAATCAATATAATAATGTATTTTAATACATATGTTGACTTGACTAATGAAGATTTATTTTTGATAAATTTTATAATTTAATTTCTATACATATTTTAAAAATTCACTTTCTGATGTATCAATATATGTTCATTGCATCTTATTACTTTTTTTTTTAAATGTTTTATTGTTACACATTTTTATCTTATGTTAAGTTAATTTGACCAAAAAGTATTATTATTGTACCTAAGTTACTAACAAAAATATTGTAAATTAATAAAAAAAAACATTCATATATTAATTTCTTTATGTGCTTTAAAATATTCCAGTGAAGTTCTTTATTAGCTTCTTCAATGATACATACTTAGCTCAAATTGGTCCTTCCGTATGTACATTCACAATAAGTGTTCAAATAATGACATTGTTCATCAATATGTAATATCATAGTTAAGAATAAGCGAATATAAGACTAGGTCATAATGTATTTATGTACAATGTTCAATTCTGTTTCTAAATTATATAGTTATGGCAATTCAAATGAATAGAGAAACTACCTGTTGTTGACTCAAAGATTAAATAAAACAGTATCTATCAAAATAGACTATATCCAGTTTATAATTCAATTAATTATTTATCATAATATTATATAAAGAATAACTCCACAAGTTTACATATGCATAATAATAAAACTTACATAATAATGTATTATGATTGATGATACCAATTACATATAAAGAGCTATTGCTGTAGCATGTAAATGTTACGACCTGTTCATATTAACTCTTGATTCATATTTGACTTTAACATTTAATAAATATATAAATATTTAAAACTTCCAATGTATATATATACATACATATGTACACTTTTATCTCTTATTATAATTCATTTATTGAAAATGTTAACTTTTTAATATTGCCAAGTAATTTTATTTATATTTCCTTATGTAGCGAAGGTCAAGCTATTAAGAACAGGTCCATAAATTCTAATCAATGACAATATACGGATGATAGCTTAAATATCTTAGGAGATAAGGCTTAGAAGCAATTCTGATTAGCTAGTCAAACTGCATTTCATTTAAATGCTCTATTTACTTAAATTATATTTATTTTATTTTTATTTACGATAGATGATTCCACTTCATGGCACATTGACAAAAAATAATTGTAATTTGTATAATCTAGTGCTTATTTTATAAGTAAAATGAATGTGTGTTGTAAATTATATTTATGAAGTGTAAAATAAAGTATCTATCAGAGATAATTGGTATTTATTGATAGTATCACATAACATCACAGCATCCCAACAGTATCATTTTAAATGACTTTGTTGACACCATTCCTTTAAGAGAAGCTTCTCTTTCGAACAATAATCCTCAAGATATTTCATCTTTTAATTGCATTAGGCTTTCACAGCTTCCTTTTCTTTCGATTCACTTTGTAATTCTTCAGCTTCTGCTTTAAATTTGTCCTTTAAAAGAAATAAAAAGTTAAATTTTGAAGCTATTTATTAAGTTGTAACTTAAAAAATATTTTCTATCAAAAAGATAGTAAAGCTTACCAAGTCATATATAACTTTAACAACTAGGGAGCAGCTCGGGCATGTCGCAACTTCTTCTCCGGCCATTAACTCTTCCTGTAATAGTTATCAGAAAATCTTTAAATACTATAAACTTAATTTAACATACATACTGTATAATTTGCAATGAAATTATTTAAAAATCCTAACCTTACTGATCTGGAACCTGTCTCCACAAGGACACGGATAGTAATACATGTCGTCATCTTCATCATACTCAAAGTCTTCAATCTCTATTTCATCGTGAAATATTGTCATTGTATAGTAATATAGTTAACTAACAATAATAGAATTATGATCCAACCACACTTGATGTTCGCGTGTTTACAATACACTGTGACACTTGTTTTGACATATCACTGACAGTCGACAGACGACTGTAGTGTAAATTGCAATGAAGTGGGATCGTTACAATGGATTAACCATTGTAGCTTCAAGAAAACTATCTTCCTCAGCTCTTAATTTTCAACCAAACTTTTTCCTTTTTTTATAAAAATAATTTTTGTCCTTATAACTTTAAAATTACTAATATGCTACGTTTACAGAGCTGATATATTAAATATTAATTTATATGGCAATTCCTGTTATAGTCACGTTCTACTTCTATATCAAGGTGACAACATTGAAATCGTCATGTCAAACACGTCATAAGTCATTCATTTTTATGAAAGAGGATGATCGCGGTGGTCTTGCGTAAATTGATATCATTTTTAATTTAAGTAGTGCAGTGAGTGAATCAGTGCAAATATTTTACTGTTTATACTAGAAAGTTACAACAGTAATTATGTTTAGCTGGCTTAAAAAAGAGGGTGAAAAAACTGAAAGTATCGAAAATGTCGTGGAGGGTCTTAAAAGAATTTATAAGACGAAACTTTTACCACTCGAATTGCATTATCAGTTCCACGACTTCCACTCTCCACAGCTCGAGGAACCAGACTTCGATGCGAAACCGATGATTCTGCTCGTTGGTCAATACTCGACGGGTAAAACTACATTTATCAAATATTTGTTAGAAAGGGATTTCCCAGGAATACGTATTGGACCAGAACCTACAACAGATAGATTCATCGCGGTCATGCACGATGAGAAAGAAGGTATGATTCCCGGAAATGCACTCGTCGTAGACCCAAAGAAACAATTTCGTCCATTGAGTAAATTCGGAAACGCCTTCCTCAACAGATTTCAATGTTCCACTGTAAATTCGCCGGTACTACGTGGAATTTCAATTGTGGATACGCCTGGTATTTTGTCTGGTGAAAAGCAACGTGTTGACAGAGGATACGATTTTACCGGTGTTCTCGAATGGTTCGCAGAGCGTGTCGATCGTATCATCCTGTTGTTTGACGCCCACAAACTAGATATTTCAGATGAGTTCAGGCGGAGTATTGAAGCGTTGAGAGGTCATGATGACAAAATTCGTATTGTATTAAATAAAGCTGATATGATTGATCATCAGCAGCTGATGCGAGTATATGGCGCTCTGATGTGGTCGTTAGGCAAGGTGCTGCAAACACCTGAGGTAGCCAGAGTGTACATAGGATCATTTTGGGACCAACCTCTACGCTACGATGTCAACAGGCGATTATTTGAGGATGAGGAACAGGATTTGTTTAGAGATATGCAATCTCTACCGCGAAATGCAGCATTACGTAAATTGAATGATTTAATCAAAAGGGCACGACTTGCCAAAGTTCATGCATATATAGTTAGTGAGTTAAGAAAAGAAATGCCTTCAATGTTTGGCAAAGATGGTAAAAAAAAAGAATTGATTAAAAATTTAGGTCAAGTTTATGATAGAATTCAAAGGGAACAGCAAATTTCTCCTGGTGACTTCCCAGATATCAAGAAAATGCAAGAAACACTAGCTAATCATGATTTCACCAAATTCCACCCTCTGAAGCCTAAGTTATTAGAGGTTGTGGATCACATGTTGGCCACAGACATAGCTCGTCTCATGGACATGATCCCACAGGAAGATGTCAACATTGTCACCGAGCCCCTCATCAAAGGTGAGTACTGTAGTTTAGAGCTATTTGACCTGTACAGCAACTGTTCATCATTCATTATTTAGAAAACCTGATTATTATTAATGTTCAGTGTTATTACTTAAATTATTTTGCTAAATTTAACACCTTCAGGTAAATTTCTAAAAAATTAATTAAATTTCTAAAAAATCTATTGTTAACTCTAACGCCGGCGTGTCCGCGGTCGTTGAGGGAATAATTAATATAATTTGGCATGAATAAATTTCAAAAACCGTATTTGTTCATGTCAATTACTTAAAGTATTTATATTTTTTGCAAGAAATATTACTAGATAATAGTAGTGACTATTTAGGAAGTAACGATAATTTTGTTTAATTTACTCGTAATGTAATTTATTACATTTGTATGAAGATCGCACAATCCCTAAAGAGACTTATTATCTTAACAAGATGCAAACAAGCTGTGTGGGCCGGGCCTAGTATGCTTATAAGTATTTTAAAATAACACTATTATCTCCTTGTTACTTGGCTATCAATTCAATTGGAATTCTTAAAATAATAGGAAATATTGAAATCAATTCACAATTCTATACAAGTCCACTTCATGTTAGCACATTTACAAGGCTAACTATTATGTGTCAGTAACTAAAGTTAGTACTTTTAAAGCTAGCCATCTTATCTCAAGATATTGACCTGAATGAGTTCTTATCAAATGATAAACACAGCATATAGCTGCAACTACTTAAACTTTAAAACTAAACTATTTAATCAGAATAAGGTATTTTAAAATTATCTTATTTGGAAAATTCTTTTTAGGTTTGAATTGAAATATATTAGTAACAAGAGACTCACCCTCGCTTTGCTCGGATTTGTCCTGAGGTGATTTTTAACTTGACATTACTTTTTAATTTATGAATTGATTGAAATAAAACAAATGCTAAATGTTAAGTGAAGCTTACCACAATACATTAGTGAAAACTGCACCCAAATCAATTAAGCCGTTCCTGAGATTAGCATGCAAAAAACACAGACAAACAGATAAAAAAATCTATAAATCATTGTTTTGTGTTCTATTATGTTAATAAAGACCCACAATAATAGTTTTTCTCAAATATCTTTCATGTATAGACAGCGATCAACACTTTTAATATATATACACAATAATTTGTTACATTAATTAAATTACTACTCTGTGCTTCTAATAATATGGGAGTCCTCTTAGTTAAAAAATAATTTTAAAAGCAAATCTTTTAATAGTTTGGATACCTCCAAATTTATATAAAATAATTATATTTAATATATAATATATATTTATATAATATATATTTATTTAATATATATTAAATATAATATACAAATGATTTGTTGTCACTTAGTATACATTATACTTACATATTTACATTTCACACATGTAGAAGATTGCTTAGGTCATTGTTATTTTTGGTACATATGGAGCATTATAATGATGATAAAACATCTTCAAATAAACTGATAAGGTTTATAAAACTGTAAGGAAAAAGTATTAGGTCTTACTAGAATTTTAATATGACTTTATGATTTAAAGCAACAACATTTAGAAGTATTTTCATGTAGTATAAATATGTAAATAGGTAATGCCTGATTCAGATGAGCAATAATTGAACGGAGGAAGTAGTTGTGCTTCACGCCTTTGAGCACTTTGTACTATAAAAATTAGCCATCCAAATCTAACATACATTAAACATGTCTATTAAAATTTTAATCAAGTTTATATCGTAAACTTTTCATACATACAAAAGTAAGTAGGAAACTCTATAGTTGAAAATGGGATGTTTGCCCATATACTTATGTATATATACAGTAGAAGCGACTGACTCTCGCTTCGCTCGGGTTCGTCCCTGGGTTGATATCCTATGCAAACTTTCATCCCCATTTTCACCCCCTTAAGGGATTATTTTCGGTATGAAAAGTATCCTATGTCTTTCCCAGGATCACAAACTATCTTCTTACCAAATTTCATCTAAATCGGTTCAGTAGATCCAGAGTTTACCCACTACAACGTCACAAACTCACAAACTTTACCTCTTTATAATATTAGTATAGATTATGTTTAAAATTCAAACTTCTTACTTCGTTGTTATATTGAAAAACCAGTTGGGTAAATTAAGCAACTTGTACCAGTATATATCAATATCAATTACAATTTTAATCAGCACCATCATGTACCTTGATATCATCACTAGTATATTATCATTCTGCCTCGGTTGTGTAGTGGTTAGCAAGTACGGCCGCACACCCGGAGGTCCTGGGTTCGAGTCCCGGGTCGGGCCAAGTTTAGTTATTGAGTCTCTCTGTATAGTAAGCCTCAGTAACAGCCTGGAGTTGGGAAGTTGGCGGTGTTTCACCCCCGTGCCTCAGAGAGCACGTAAAGCCGTCGGTCCTGCGCCTTAACTCTCACTGGTCGTGTCGAGTGGTCGTCCCATCAGAATATGAGAGTGACAGGAATAGAGAGTGCACGTTGTGTCTGCGCTTACACATGTGCACTATAATATCTCCTGCGCAGTTGGCTAGTCTCAATGAGATTGGCCGCCGTGGCCGGAATCGGTCGGGAGAACATCATCATGTTATCATTTATTTGAAACGTCCGTAAGCAAAACTCGAAATAAAACGAAAAATTCCGAAAGTTTTTAGTTTTATATAAAATATTATATTATTTCCAAACATCCAATTTAAATATATTGCACTTACGATATGTATTAGTTCAGTCTCTTGACAGTATATCTTGTGGTTTTACCGCAGGGTAGATTTTAATAAGACCTAACAGTATGAAACTTTAGACGCCTTTATTAGAACATTTTGCCGATAACCGTTCGCGCGATCACTTTAAAAAATAAATATGTTTGGACATTAACACAGCACCATCTAGTTCCATGGAAAGCTACGAGGCTTGTGTTATGGATACCAGATAGTTGATACACTACACATATACAACTTTAAATACATACATTTTATAAATATAAACATCCATGACTGGAGTACAAACACTTATGCTCATTACACAAATGAATGCCCCCAGCGGGACTCGAACCCGCGACCGTTGGCACAGCAAGTAGGGTCACTACAAACTGAGCTAAACGTGTCGTCAAAAAAAAACTTTTTTCCCCCTAAAATCAGGTATTGAGACGAAAAGGTTAACAAAATCCGAAGTAAAATTTCTTAGTGGTCATAAAACAGCTCACATCTGACCCGGTTGGAGCCCGACGACCTCTTAATTGGCATTGTTCTTACTGCTTCACTAATTACTGTATCATTTTTAACTAAATGATTGTAAATTTGTATCACAGATTGTGTTCGTAGCACCTCCCAAAGTAACAGCGCCTCTTCAAAACTATTTTCAATGCACGTACACGAACCATGGCTACGTTTTATTACATCAAAGAATTCCATGTCGTATCTCCAAAGTGCGTACGTGACGAAATTTTCAGAAAATCTATACGTCTACATATTGACTTCTTAGAAATTTAAAAATTTATTGTATACTAGCATTGCCCGCGGCTCCGCCCGCGTTCAGATGACCAAAAACCAAATTCTTAGGTTTTACATATTAGTATACTCTTACATTGCAGTTTTTGTGTTTTTTCTCAGAGATGAGATATTTTCCCGCGATAAAAAGTATCCTATATGTTAACCCGGATAACCAGCTATCACCATACCAAATTTCATCAAAACCCCTCCAGCGGTTTTTCTGGGATGCGGTAACAGACAGACAGACAGACAGACAAAAATTCTAAAAACTATAGGTTCGGACTCTGTATCGATAATAATGTCTATTTCAATAAGATTTTCCAAAAACTATTTAATGTACTGATTGGGCTTAGTTACAATTTTATTATATGTATAGATTTGTTGAGTATTATTGGTAGAGCCGTACGTACTTAGTTTTTATTTTCTTACACTTGTTCCAACAAAATCTATATTCCTGACCTACCTAAGGTCATTGTCGTAGCCTTTGTACGTAAATAACGCTGTTTTATTGCGTTGAGATATTTGTTCACGTTATTCTAATGTTTAAATATATTATAATCAATGTGTTTTTTTTTTATTTTGATAACTAGCATTGCCCGCGGCTCCGCCCGCGTTCAGATGACCAAAAAGCAAATTCTTAGGTTTTACATATTAATATACTCGTACAATACAGTTTTTGTATTTTTTCTCAGAAATTAGATATTTTCCCGCGATAAAAAGTATCCTATATGTTGACCCGGATGACCAGCTATCACCATACTAAATTTCATCAAAATCCCTCTAGTGGTTTTTCTGTGATGCGGTAACAGACAGACAGACAGACAGACAAAAATTCTAAAAACTATCGATTCGGCCTCTGTATCGATAATAAGTAATGTTTATTTCAATAAGATTTTCCAAAAAAATATTTAATGTACAGATTCGGCTTAGTTACAATTTTATTATAATAATGTATATAGATAAATAAAATACAAAATCTTAAAGACAGTTATAGATAGTTACATACTTAAAGATTGAGTATATATAGTATTATAAGAAACCAATGTTATGAAATATATTTCTGACTCATTTATTATTTTAATTGTGACTCATCAAAATGAATGCAGATATCGTTCTTTTCCTTATTAAATTTCATATATATAATACATAATTTTTAATGTATTTTTAATTAATAAATTTTAACATTTTAGTTAATTTTAAGTACTTATTCAAAAATTTACACTCGATGCGAGGTAAATGTACATAGTTAGGTGGTAATGTTTATGACATCATGGGCGCGTCCCGCATACGGTATATGTCGGCTGTTATCTTGCTATCACGTGAATCAGCAAACTCTATATTTGATAAAAATGTGTTTAGTGAAAAGTAAGCCAATATATGATTTAGATGTGACCTTCATATAACATTGGACCCATTAAAAAAACCCTACGCAAATTAATTGTCATTTAACGATTACACTGGCACGCGTGAGGCACTTAATCGAGTAATCATACGCCAAAATGCCTTACATCATTTTGGAAA